CCCCTCACTGCAACATCCTCCCTGCCACTCCCCCTCCCCCATTCCCACCCCTCCCACCCGCTCACTCCCATGCTCCCCTCAACTCACCTTCCTCTTCCCTTCCTCACTTTGCTGCCTCTTCCTACTCTCCCCTCACTCTCTTGAGCCCGGCCCTTGCTGCTCTGTGTACTGGACACCTGCTGATGTGGGCCAGCATCTCTGAGATCAGACTGAAAGCCAAATAACTTAACCCCAGCCGGCTGGCTGGCTATCCCAATCCCTCAGCACGGTGACAGGTCGCACACGGGCATTGTCTGCAATGTCTGACGGCCGAAGCCAGCTGCCAGGAATAGAGGCGCGGTGATCAAAGTGCTACCACTGGAGAGAGAGCTGGCGGGACAAAAGAACAGCCTGTTCGATCGGGGGAGCGCTCTGGTTCTGTTTTCAAGCGCTGTCATCGCCGGGGTTTGCTCTGCGTTGGGGTCCGTTCTCAAACTGTCAGGGCGTCAAGCGCAGAGGTGCTTGCCGCCAGCCGGTGCGGTACGGCTCGCTGTCAGCGTCTGAGTGCCCGCATTTCTGAGCTGAGCCAAGCGCTCTCCCCGGCTGGGTTGTTGTCCCTGCCACGCATGGCGGAGCAGGCACCGCGGATACATAATGTGTTGTCAGCCTTTCCCAGGCTTGACTTGGAGGCTTGCATCCGAATGTAAGACAGGAACGTCGGGAGCGTTAGTGATGGAAGCCATTACAGCTGCCACTGCTCACCGACAAGCAGGCTTCCTGGCTCCCGAAGCCAAGGGGGCTGCAAAGAGAGGACGCACTCGTACGGGCGAGGGGGGCTGCTGGGGGAAGGAAGCGGCTTTTAGGCTTGTGCTCCTGGTTACTGGGAGCCTTGATTTCCCACACTGAGGGCCCAGTCCATCAACACTGTAAGCCGCCCCTGGAAGGCGAGGTTGGCCCTCAGTGCCACTTGCCTAAGACAGGGCTGTAGTGGGCCCTACGGCTTAGCACAGAACTAGCTGCTGTACTTAAAGCGCCCGGCCTGGCTGGAACCCAGTGAGCAGTCACAGGAGCTCAGGAGAATACACATGGAAAGCCACTTCATTACTTCGTGGTGAGGAGAAGCCTGAAAGCGTTCTGGCCTGGCAGGTAAATGACCCGAGCTGGCCTGTTTTTCGCCTGTCCGGAGGGACCAATATCCATTACAAGGTCTGATATCTCATGACTCACCGGGCACAGAGACTGTTGCCGAACTCCAGCAGAAAGCTGGGAATCCCTGTTCTCCGCTGACGGGTGACATTTTTTTCCCTAGCCGTGAAGGTTCGTAAGGTATAAAACCTTCAATTGACAATGTTGAGATGACACCCTTGCATCTCCGGGGGCTATAGGATAGCACCCTGGTCTGTGACCCAGCCAGTCTGTCCCCAGTCCTTTTGCTGGGCCTCCACGCGTTTACTCCATCCTCCTCCCTCTCACTTCTGAAGCCACCCTTCTTCTTTAGCATGCCTGTGGGTTGACAGTTCAATCCTGGAGGCAGCAATCTTGAACTACAGTGACAACTGTGCAGGACATAAATATTCATGGGCGGGAGATTGCCGGTACTTGGCCTGTTGGGACTCAGCCTTCGCTGTTAGTCTGCTTTGAAACTTGCTGGGGACTTGGCAGGAAGACAAGCTGTTCCGGCCGTCAGTCCAGTGTTTGGTGTTTCTGGTAGGTCTTTCCCAACCAGATGGCTATTATTCCCCAGGATCAAGCATCATCAGGAATTGGCCACTGTCAAACACCCCTGCCTGTCACAGGTTCTTTCCACCTTTCACCTCTGGATCAGGTGGGGCCTCAACTCGTCTCATAGGTAATATTTTCTGTTGCACATGTTTCTGCTTTCTGATGGTGCTGCAGTGCGATGCCACCGTGGTTTGGATCCTTGGCCATCCCTTTGTTCAGGCTGCAACCCACATGCAGATTCCTAGTTACCCAGTCAAGAAAACTGGAAGGTAGCTGTGCTGTTTGATCAAAAATGGCCCTTTCCTCTGCACCTGGGGCCATTTACATGGAGTCCCACCCTCCTGCTTTTGAGCAGATGCTGGTAGCCTAATTCTCCTCTCAAATCATGAACAAGTAAGCAGCAGTTTAGGTGGCTGCTTCATACTCAGCTGATTTGTTTCTGAGATATTGCTTATGTTTGGCTGTGTGAATTGCACTCTCAGTCACCCTGTTTGGTAGAGGATACTCCCATAAAATTACAGTATTCTCCTGAGTGGCTTGAGAAAAATCTCAGTCTCTTGGTTTACAAATGAGGCACAGGCACAATCGTCTTTCACTTTGGACCCAGCATCTGGCAAAAAGCAGCTCAGATCAGGATATGACCTTCTTTGTCCTGCTGCCTCATGTAGATGAAGCACTGCTGTGTATTTGGAAAGATGACTCAGCATCAATAGGGACGGACAACCTCCAAAATCAAAATCAACCATGGTCGTTTGCGGCCTGGAAGCACGAGGAATGCCATGTGGCTGCAGGGCAGGTTCTGTTCGGTTGCTGGTCTGGTCTCCGCATGTTTGGCATTCCTCAGTTAACTACACCATAGAATCAAAGAAACTAGAGCTGGGAAAGACCTTCTAGAGCATCTAGTCCATCCCACAAAGGCCAATGGAGGATTGCCCCTAGAGTATATTCTGAAATATTTTGTCCAGTCTCCTTTAAATTTCACAAGTGGCGGGTCTTCCACCACCTCCTGGAGACATTATTCCACGCCTGAGAGATTTCTCGGTGAGTATTTCCTGTTATTCAGCCCAATATTTTCCTCTTTTAATTCCATTCCATGTCTCCAAGTTGTTTCCTTTTTGATTCTAGTCCTTTAACCATTCCTGGCAAGCCCACTAACTGCTTGTGCTGGAGCATTGGTTCCTCAAGCCATATGGCCTTCTAGCTTCTTCAGATACAGCTATCCCTTCACCTACCATCAGGAGCCTTTCATGAATGCGGGTTAGATGTTTCACTGCCCAGTGTGGGCATCAGCTGGGACCCAGTTTCTGTCTCCCCTACAGCCTGCCTTCTTTCTGTCATCTTCCAGAGCATCCAAAACACCATGTCGTTAAGTGAACCTGTTTCTGTTGGTCTTTCCTCTCCATCCCTAATGCCCTTCTTGCTACCTTGACGTGCACTTTCCCTTCTTTAGGAAGTTCTTCCCTTCCCCAGGGAAGGGGGATGTTGCATACCGCTTGGGAGGAGGATGTATCTGCAGTTTCAATTGAGGAGGCATTCATACCACCTCAAAGTCCTGGTGTGGTGGACGGACCATCCCATTCACAATCTTGCAGACACACAGCTAAGCCATTTAGTGACTTCTTGCCAAGCAAACAAGCATTGATGGAACTTCATCACATGTGCAATTGCCAGCAACTCCTCCTATTTAATCAGCATTTCAGCATATCAGACTTGTTCCCTCCCCCACAATCTGGCCCATTTGCTGCCCCACTTACCTTAATTTGACTGTCTTTCCATCTCCCATTGCAGCATGTTGAAACCAAACCCCAGGCCTAGTGTGAACTCAGTCTTCCCACTCTGGTAGCACATGTTCTGGCTGTGCTTATATCCATGACCCCTCTTACGTGCTGGAGTGCTGATAGGGATCTCTCAGGGGCTTGGGTAGTCAAAGCTTGTGCCTATGTCCCACTTTCCTCAGATGCTCCTCACGTCTCCTGGTGTATATAGGTCTGACTCCCTTGCTGGTCTCTCTCGTAGTCCCGTACAGTATGTTCTGATGAGAATTGTTGTGTGTCTTATTGTTATTTACTGATTTGATAGGGTACCAGCTTGCTTTGAAGAATTATCCTACATAATGGCCATACTGGGTCAGACCAAAGGTCCATCCAGCCCAGTATCCTGTCTACCGACAGTGGCCAATGCCAGGTGCCCCAGCGGGAGTGAGCCTAACAGGTGATGATCAAGTGATCTCTCTCCTGGCATCCATCTCCACCCTCTGACAAACAGAGGCTAGGGACACCATTCCTTACCCATCCTGGCTAACAGCCATTAATGGACTTAACCTCCATGAATTTATCTAGTTCTCTTTTAAACCTTAAATCCTATGGGCTGGAGACATGGAGAAGGTCTGTGAGGTCATCTACTTCACCTCTAGCAGAGCCAAGATTTTCCTTGCAATATAGGCTCCTCTTCACCACCTAGGACATGGCATGTGACAACCCTGGGGGTGGAACATGGCAGTCATTATAACAGCACCAGCAGCACTGAATGAGATCCACAGAAAGAGAGAAGAATACCCTAGTTGAACATGCAGGGGGAATTTTAGACAGGCAGAATATAATTACCAAGGGTCAGATCTTGAGCTCCATGCTCAGTTCTCACCCACTGAAGTCAATAAAAGTTGGAATAAAGACCTCAAGATTTGGTTCCTAATTTTGGACCAGTTTCCTGTGGCCAGGGCCGGATTAAGGTTGTGAGGGGCCTAAGGCTCGTGGGACGGAAGGGCCTAAGTATGAATTACATATTGCAAAAAAAATTATGAAGTCATCAAACATTTCTCTACACACATATATTTACATATTATTTATTCAGCGTTGGCACCCCACCATGTCCCTGAGAGTGATTTGGGCAGTAGGCATCCCTTGGGTGGTGAATCTCTAAGAATCAACCAACGACTGGTTGATGCAGAATAAAAAATGTTCAATTCTTGGACAAATCCAAAAAAAAAGAAACTGCTTCAACACAGCAATAAATGGCAGACTGGCCAACAAGGTTATAGACTCATAGACTCATAGACTTTAAGGTCAGAAGGGACCAATATGGTCATCTAGTCTGACCCCCCGCATGATGCAGGCCACAAAAGCTGATCCCCCCACTTTCCCTTAACTCTGCTGTTGAAGTCTCCAGATCGTG